GGACTCCCTGTTGTACTGTCACCAGAACTCTCAGTAACATGATCAGAGGACCCCCTGTTGTACTGTCACCAGAACTCTCAGTAACATGATCAGAGGACTCCCTGTTGTACTGTCATCAGAAAACCTGGTAATCAGGGTAGTTTTTGTCACAATTAGGATGGCCGATATGTCAATGAACACTTAAGTTTGTTAATGTTCAAGACTTCCTATCATATGTATTCTTGGAAGTACACTTCACTGTTAAACAAATTAAAAAGATCTAGACAAAAAAAGTTCCTTTACATAGGAGGCACATTTTTTTTATTCTGTTGCATGTCTGTCCTAGGGATAAAGTTTCCTCATACTGGTAAATATTTGGAAAGATTTCCACACTCAATTGAAAAAAATCTTTCATACATTTGTATTTTTGGTACCTTAATATCAATGCCAAACATAAATGTACCTTCTGTCTCCACATAATTTCCACTTATTTCCAGAAAATCATTTGATACATAACTCGTTCTTGCATTATCATGGAATAATGACAAAAACATACTTGTAAAACTGCTCTTTACTATGGTAACTTTCTTTTGTTGTATTCCAATTGATTAGACCAGAGTTGTTTATGAAAGTGGAACCGACCCAGTGATTTGATGTTCCTTTCTGGCGAGCCTTGCTAAAGACTTTCAAGCCCTCTATTAACATTTGAAGGTCAGTTAGGTGTATCCCAAAAGTATTACACCAAAAAATAGACAAACCAGTTTGTCTGCATAAACGACTAGACCCATTCTGTGCATATTTTCTGTAATAGTTTTCTATAAGATATATTTTTCTTCAATTCATTTCTATTTCTTTCATTGCAATATTTTTGTGGTTTAATCAGGTTAAAACTAAATATTTTTCAAATAACAATACATTTCATTGAGAAAACCAACAGTTACAGAATGGAGGCAGAAACAAGTGTCTCAGACACTAATGTAAATCTGTCATCTGAGGGTGAAATCAACAATAACAAATTATGATACGAACAAAATATCAGTTTATAAGTAGTGGTTACAGGGGTTTGGAATGCTGCATCAAATTAGATATGTATCCTTAAATTTAGATACCTTATTTTTCATATAGAAACAAAAACAATACCATTACATGGGAACAGATCTCTAATTAGAAAAATATATATCATTAAAGCCTTAGTTTTGGCTACTGCTTCTTTTTGAGTTGGGTATAGGGAGTGTGAGATACATCTACCGTCTCTGCATCTTTACACTGGAATTGTCTGATGTGAAAGTAGACGAGAAACAAGAGGAAATGAGAGCAGGAAAATACGGAAACCAGGACAGGGAAAAAGTCTGGGAGTTTGGGTGGCGGTACCGCAAACACGGACAACGCTGTCAGACTGATCACCCCAAACATCGACAAGTAAAACTGAAACAAAAAGAAACAGACAGGAATAAATATATACAAACATTTTATTCAGGTTCTTTTTGTGCAAATATAAATGCAGACCTAAATATCCAGAAATTTAAATATTTTGTAAATAAGCCTAAATATAAAAGTATCACTACATCAAATCAGTATGTTGTATTTATAATAGCACTATATAAAATTATTATACCTGGTAATGCATCAATAATAATACTGTATAAAATCAGTACATCCTTTCAGTAATGTGATGGCAAATGTATGCATTACGGAAGGAGCATTTCCTATTTTCCCTTAGGCAGAAAATTGGAAAGAATATGCAATCTGGAAAATAACATAAGAGTGCAGTGATAAATGCTTCTGGAAAATCAACACAGAGAATAAGTAATCATAGCAAAGCATGTCCATTAAACTTACTGTTAACTTTTGTAGGCGACGTTGTGGTTTATAGTCATCGCTAGGCAACACAAACACAGGAGTTGTACTGCGACAAATGATGATGTATAAAATGGTGGTCGCGATGTAAGGTATTAATAATCCATCTTTCAACAACAAAGGCAGCATACTGGAGAGAGAAAGTCACCGACACACCAGTCACATCAGTAATAATATCATAACAAAGGCAGCATACTGGAGAGAGAAAGTCACCGACACA